TCCTGCCTTCAGCCAGTGCCCCCTCAAGCCTGGGCTCCTGTGGGTGAGCTCTGGGCATCGTTTCTTAATCTGTCTCATCCATGTTCTTGCCAGAGAGAACTCTTCACAGCTGCTGGCATTTTGATGACTTTTTCCTGGTTTCTTTGGTGGGTGTGTGTCTCCCCCTGTTTTGCATTTGCTGGGGTTCCTTCTTTTTTTTCTTTTTTAAAAATTTATGTATTTATTTGAAAGTTAGAGTTACACAGAAAGGAGGGAGGGAGGGAGAGAGAGAGGGAGAGAGAGAGAGAAAGGTCTTCCATCCACTGGTTCACTCCCCAGTTGGCTGCAACGGCCGGAGCTGTGCTGATCCGAAGCCAGGACCCAGGAGCTTCTTCCAGGTCTCCCATGTGGGCACAGGGGCCCAAGGATTTGGGCCATGTTCTACTGCTTTCCCAGGCTACAGCAGAGAGATGGATCGGAAGTGGAGCAGCCGGGACTCAAACCGGTGCCCATATGGGATGCCAGCACTTCAGGCCAGGGTGTTAACCCGCTGCACCACAGTGCTGGTCCCCCTTCTTTTTTTCCTTAACTGAGCTTTTTTCGGGAGCTTTCTTATTGACACCTAAGGATCATGAAGTCCCAATTCCCGAGCATACATGTCAGTGAATTTTCCCATAGATACTCCCTGTGGAACTACTCTCCCCATCAAGATGTTTCTTTCAGAGTGGAGAAGCTAATGGTGGGAGGTTGGATGGGGAAGGGGATACTGCAGGTGTCCTCATACTGACTTTTTTTCTAGAACTATCTAAAGCTGTCAGGTGATAAAGGGGTGTGGAGGGCTGAGGGGTTGGGATTGGCATTGTGTTCTGGCCCTCCTCCGTACAAGTCATGAGACTTTCTGTGCCTTGGTTGCAACAACTGTGAAATGGGAGCAGATGCTAGGTCTTGCCTCACAGGCCTGTCATGCAGATTACACGGAACAGTGCAGGTAAGTGCACAAAAAATGCTAATTGTTGTTTTTGTTGTTATTACTCATGAGGAAGAGGAGGAGGAGGAGTTCTTAACTGAGAGTATGCATCAGAATCACCTGGGGCCCTTGCGCAAAATACACACGCTCAACCCAGCTGGGCCCCTGAGTCAGGAGCCAGTTTTCAGACACCTTCACAGGTCATGGTATTGCTCATCCATGTTGAAGAACACTGGGATGAAGGTGGCCGTGACTGCAAGCACGGAGGCCAGCAGGAGGCAGGGCAGGGCAGGCTCGAGTTGGGCGGGGCTGGAGAAGATGCCAAGCTGGGCAGACAGAGGTGGAGTGTGAGGTGACCAAGAGGTGGTGACCATGACAAGGGAGGGGCACAGGGTGACTCACAGGGTAGGAGCATGTAGAGGAGGAGCCAGATTGGGGTACAGGAAGAAGAGTGGTGGGCCTGGGGACGGGGGACAATGTGGCCTCTCTCTTGGGCTCCTGATGGAGGTGATGAGTTAGTATTTACTTCTCTAGGCTTGGCCAGGTGCTGTGGTTCTGGGAGGCATCAGTGTGGCCTGGTCGTAGAGCCCGCATGGAGGGAGGGGAGTTCACAGGTAGCCCTCGTGCAAAGGGCTGTGTGTGCTTCTCACTCCACGCTCCCCAGACGTAAAGAGCTTGCTAAAGCTGCTACTGAGCACTTGCAGTAAACTCTCCTCCTCTGAAACTGAATAACACCGTGGTCGTTTCCTTCCCACTCGGGTCACAAGGTTTCCAAACCCTCTCCAGCAGCTTCCCCAGGTGAGGGGCGTGGCTCCACTTCCCACATCCCTGCACCCCCAAGGGGTTGTCTCCTCAGACTGGCTAAGACAGTGTGTGAGTCATTCCAGTGCCTCCTTTAGAAGCGTTTGTATCTAGAATCATAGGTGCCCTAGAAGTAATGAAAGATGTCTTGTTCCTAGGGGGAAGCCACCCATTTGAATTATTCACTTGCTGGGGATAAAGACACACATGAGTCTTAGAGTCTCATCTCCCTTTGGATGTTAGCTCCAAACTGGCAGTCCTGGAAACAGGCCCCTCACACAGCTCCATCAAAATCCCTGCCTCCAACCAAGCTCCACTGCCACTTCCCAACCACTGTGTTAGCAGGAGTGGCCTTCTGCTTTCCCACTCTGTATGAGGGAAGATAAGGCCTGGGAGCAGGGAAGGCTACCAAGCTAGCACAGCACTGCCTGCTGGTTCCCTAGGGAGAGCTTGAAACCACGACCACCACTTCAGTGGGAAAAGGAGATGATTTGTTTATTGATTTTTAACTTTTTTTTTTTAAAGAAAATGTGGAATTACAGAGACAGAGCTTTTATCCGCTGGTTCACTCCCAAAATGGCTGCAATGGCTAGAGCTGGGCCAGGCTGAGGTCAGGAGCCAGGAGCTTCATCTGGCTCTCCCACATGGGTGCAGGGGCCCAGGTACTTGGGCCATCTTCTACTGCTTTCCCAGGCACATTAGCAGGGAGCTGGATCAGAAGTAGAGCAGCTGGGACTGGAACCAGGGGCCAATATGGATATAGATGCTGTAAGCCACATCTTGATCTGCTGCTGCACCATGGTGCTAGCCCAAGGTTTTTCGTTTGCTTGTGTTTTTTGTTTTGTTTTGTTTTGTTTGTTTGTTTGTTTTTAAGGATTAAGGGCATTGTGGGCCACTTTTAGCAAGATTTCCCTTCAGCATGGTTGAAACAGTTCCTTGGCGATTGAGCTTTTACTTTCCAGAAAAACTCACTCATGGGACCCTCTATGATCCAGATCATAAAGAAGCTGCCGAGCCTGGGAGTGCACAGACTGTGTAGAGCCCTCGTGGGGTGACCTCAGGCGCTGGGCAAGCCATGCTCGCCCAGCCCAGTGTGCCTCACAGCCCAGTCACTGGCGGGCTCCTTTGTTGTCCAGCTTGAGTGCATGAGTGACTCCTCCTCAGGCTGCAAGCTTGCTGAGCCCTGGAGACAGGTGTGGAAGAGGGCTCTCAGCTGCGCAGTCCCTAGGGATGGCAGTCCTGGTCTGGCAGGTGGGGGTGGGGGTGAGTGCAAGGGGACAGATGTTTGGGTTTGGGGTGTAGTGTGGAGTGGGCTTGAAGCCAGAGTCCAGCCTCTTCACCTCTTTGTCCAAGAGAGGGCAGCCCATTCACACGAGGCGGGCGGGCTCCTTGTGTCCTTACTCGCCTGTCCCCTCAAGGCTCTCTGGCTACTCATTCCCCATATCTGCACCTGTGACTCGCTGGTGACCTCAGGGCTGCTGCAATCAGTGAGGGGGCCTGCCAGGACAGCCAGGTGTCGCTGAGAAAAGGCAGGCCGGCCTGAGGTGGGAGCAGCAGGCTGAGGATCTGTGACTGCCCAGGAGGCTGTCTTTCCAGCAGATGACTGCACATGCCTTGTAGCAGCACACTGCCGATTGCACATGCTGTTTGATTACAAAATAGTGAAGCTGATTTTTTTTTTTTTAAGATTTATTTATTTGAGAGGCAGAGTTACAGACACAGAGAGAAGCCATCCATCTGCTCGTTCACTCCCCAAATGGCCACAATGGCTGGTGCTGGGCCGGTCTGAAGCCAGGAGCCAGGAGCTTCTTCTGGGTCTCCCACGTGGGTGCAGGGGTCCAAGCACTTGGGCCATCTTTTATTGCTTTCCCAGGTACGTTAGCAGGGAGCAGATTGGAAGTAGAGCAGCCAGAACTCAAACCAGCACCCATATCGGATGCTGGCACCACAAGTGGAGACTTAACCTACGACACCACAGCGCCGGACTCTGCTGCTGCTTTTTGAGAAATTTTATTCTGTTTGTTTGAAAGACAGAGAGGAAGACAGATCTCCTGTCCCGTGGTTTATTTCCCAGATGCTCACAATGGCCAGGGCTGGGCCAGTCCAAAGCCAGGAGCTGGGACTTAATCCAAGTCTCCCACATGGGTGGCAGGGACCCAGCCATTTGAGCTGTCTGCTGCTACCTCCCAGGGTGTGCGATGGTAGGAGGCTGGAATGGGGAGCTGAGCCAGGACTTGAACGCAGGCACTGCAGCATGGGATTCGGGCATTGGAAGCAGAGGTTCAGCCAGTTTGCCAAATGCCCACTCTGAAACTTCCCTCCGATGGGGGGATAACAATACATAGCAACACAGTCAGCCCTCTGCACCACAGCTTCCATTTCTGCAAGTTCAAGCAAGCTCCATCAAAAAATTTGGAAAAAAAAAATTGTCCTGAACACAAGCAGACTCCCCCCACCCCTTGTCCTTATTACCTGATGTAATCTGGAATGAATTGAAGGATACAGGAAGATGTGTGTAGGTTATACGCAAACGTTACGTGATTCTGTACCATTTGGTATCCATGGAGGGTGTGAAGCTGACCCCCTGCAGATACTGAGGTTAAGATGCAGTTCTCTCAGATCATAGCATCACAAGTCTGAGAGACTACAGAGGGCTCACAAAGCCGCTCATGACATGGACACGGGGCAGGGCGCATCTCAGGAGTGCTCTCAAGAAACTGCCTGCGGAATTCCCATTTCAGTGGGAATGCAATAATGTGTACTCGGTGGAGAAAAGCCTCTGCAATGCAAGTACTCTAACTGGTGGGCATTACATCCTGATGGTGAAATCACAAATGATATTCATAGGGAGAAAAGGAGCAAGCACAGCCCAGTGTCCTAGCGCAGTGGGTTAAACCACCACCTGCAACACGGCATCCCATGTGATTGGTGGTTCAAGTCCTGGCTGCTCCACTTCCCCTCCAGCTCCCTGCTAAAGCACACAGTAAGGCAGCCGATGATGGCCCTATTTCTTGGGTCTCTGCCACCCACATGGAGACTGGGATGGAATTCCAGGCTTCTGGCCTCAGGCTGGCCCAGCCCCTATGGTCATTTGGAAGTGATCCAGCAGATGAACAGTCTCTGTCTCTCCCTTTCTGTCACTCTGCCATTCAAAGAAATAAAATAAATCTTAGAAAGCAAAAGGGGCAGGCAGCAGTCATATCAGCCACCTGAGCTCAGGTCCCACCAAGTCTCTCATTTCTCTCGTTTGCAGAATGCATTCATTGTGAGATGTCAGGATGCCCAGAATCGGCAGGGATTGTCAAGGAATCCTGGTTGGCTCCAAGGTGGTTCCTCTGCTTCCTTCCCTGTCTCTTTGGAGAAAGAGGAGGGGCACGGCGTGGCTGTCCTGTGCTGGGGGAGCTGCGAAGCATTAACATCATCGAGAAGGAAGAAGTTCCCGAGTCCCATCTTGTTTCCACCTCAACTGCCCTTGAGAACAGAGCACGACATGAAAATCACTAAGGTGAAATTCAGGGGCCGGAGGGAGGCGGGGGCTTTGCCTCAGCGGAGATGACGCCACCTGCGATGCCTGCATCCTTTATCCAAGTGCCTGGGTTCAAGTGCCGGCTCTGCTGCTGATTCCAGTGTCTGCTCATGCACACCCTACAAGGCAGCCGTTGATGGCTCAAGTACTTGGGTCCTTGCCACCCATGTGGGAGGTGTGGATGGAGTTCCTGGCTTCAGCCTGGCTGGGTCCCTCCCGTTGTGGGTATTTGAAGAGTGAGCCACAGATGGCAGATCTCTCACTCTTGCTCTCATTCTCTGCCTTTCAAATAAAATGAAGAGGCATACATATCTTAAAGAGTGAAATGAATGTTAGTGGAGCCCCCCAACTCCTTCCCAGAGCAAGACCCCACTTGTCATATCCCCCAAGGGCCCAGAGCCTTGGAAGCAGTCTTTCTGGGGAGAGGTGGCCTATCCAGACACAACTCCATGCGTTAGTCCAGATTTAAACATAGACGAGGGAACCAGAAACCGTGCCGCCCAGCAGTTGGTTTATTTTTTTCAAGAAACACCCTGCAGGGAGGCTTCTGCGGGCTACAGATGGCCCAGCCCTGGGAGGGACAGTAAATAGCTGTGGGGTTACAGAGTCAGGATTCAAAATAATTTTGTCAGAGTGGGGATAGAAGGAGAAAGTTTTACAAAGAGGGATGTAATATTTAATACTTGAATTCACTAAAATTAATCCTCTGAGTGGGTAATGGGGGCCTACGGGTTAGGGGAGGCTGGCTTTGCAAGGCTCCATGTGGACCCAGAGTGGGAGGCTAGGGACAGCCAGCCACTCACGGAGCAAGGGTCCAGGACAGGGGAGGGGGCTGCAGGCTTGTCCACTCCCTGCTCCTCAGGTGCCAGCATCCTATATGGATGTCAGTTCAAGTCCCAGCTGTTCCTCTTCCTATCCAGCTCTCTGCTATTGCCTGGGAAAGCAGCAGAAGATAGCCCAAGTACTTGGGCTCCTGAACCCATGTGGGAGACCTAGAAGAAGCTTCTGGATCCTGGCTTTGGACCAGCTCAGCTCCGGCTGTTGCTGCTATTTGGGGAGCAAACCAGTGGATGCAGGATCTCTCTGTGTGTCTCTCCCTTTCTCTCTGTAACTCCACCTTTCAAATAAATAAATAAATAGTAAGAAAAAAAAAAAAGGAGGGCATGGAACAATGCACACCTGTGAGGATTTGGGGGTGGTTTAAAGGAGTTAAATCAAGGTGCTTGGACTGGGCTACACCCAGGGCAAGGCTGTGTGCTGGATAGCTGCTGTGACTGTCATTGTCACCAGCATCATCAGTGACTCACCACGCAGTGAGGAGGCTGTCTGTGCTGGGGGGGCAGAGATGAGTTGGGGCGGGCATCCCTGCCTTCAAGAAGTCACCACCCTGGATAGAAAGGCACAGGCCTGTCACCTTGGGGCTGGGTAGGGGACTTCGTGGGACGTGGTGCTGGCACCCGAACAGGGTCAGCCTGGAAGTCCTCTGGGGCAGTGGGCCAGCTGGCGTCTTGGAAAGCAGCTCCTGAAACTGTGACGCGACTCCGAGGCATGCGGTGTTTTGTTGGTCCTGTGCTTTCCTGGCTGTTTGCTCTGGGGGCGGCTGCACAGGGCGCCCCCTCCATGCCCCAAGGGAATATTAGGACTGGCCTAGCCGGCCAGGCAGGTCCCAGGAGGCAGGGCCCAGCACTGGGGCCTCCTGGCACAGCTGGTGCTCGCAGCCCCCTAATACTGGGTCTCGGGCCGAACAGAAAGCCCCCTGGGTGGTGTACACGCGCCGGCATCCTCTGTGCTGCAGTGTGACACAGTGACTTGTCCTACCCAGGGCCGTGGCTGGTGACAGGGTCATCCCCCTTTTACAGCTAGGAAAACAGGCTGGGACCTTAAGTGTCGCATAAAGGACCAAGCCAAGACTCGGAGCCAAGATTTCCAGTGCCCAAATCAGGTGCCGTAGCTGTACCCCACCCTGGGCTTCGCCGGAGCTGACTCAGCTGGGAGCTGACCCTGCCCTCCAGGATGAGATGGAACCATGGAACTGCAGCAGGGCCAGGGCGGGAGGCTGCCGCAGACCCCTCCAGCGGGGGGAGCCACCTGGTCCTACTGGCGGACTCCCTTCTCTTTCAGCAATCATCACAGAAGACGGCTGCAGTGGTTTAGGAAAACAATGTTTAGAACCCAGGGTGGTCTTTGTTTCAAACCAAATTTTATCTGTTGTGCTCAAAATTGACAACAGGTAGAAGGGGACTGTTCCAGGTGAGGACAGATCCCTCACACCCGCCCTTGTGAGGATTCTACAGAGCCGCGTTTGTGTGTGAGCAGGGTCCCGGGTGCAGCGCTCTGCAGCTGATAATGAGCTCCTCTCCGGCAGCCCTGGGGACCCTGAGTCCCACGCAGCAGGCTTTGGGTTTGTTTTTGGCTTATTTTCTAATTGTGGGGAAATATACATAACACAGAATTTATCACTGTAGCCATTTCTGAGGGTGCACTTCGGTATCCCTAAGTACATTCACAAATTGTGTAGCCATCACCAACATCATCTCCAGAACTTCCTCAGTAGTCTGCACCTGTTAACTCCCCAGCCCCCATCTCTGGCAACCACAATCCTACTTTCCTTTTTAATTTTTTTTTTTTTTTTGACAGGCAGAGTGGACATTGAGAGAGAGACAGAGAGAAAGGTCTTCCTTTTTCCATTGGTTCACCCCACAATGGCTTCTGTGGCCGGCGCACTGCGCTGATCTGAAGCCAGGAGCCAGGTACTTCTCCTGGTCTCCTATGCAGGTGCAGGGCCCAGGTACTTGGGCCATCCTCCACTGCGCTCCCTGGCCACAGCAGAGAGTTGGCCTGGAAGAGGGGCAACCGGGACAGAATCCGGCGCCCCGACCGGGACTAGAACCCAGTGTGCCGGCGCTGCAGGCAGAGGATTAGCCTAGTGAGCCGTGGCGTCGGCCCTTTTTAATTTTTAAAAGTTACTTATTTGAGAGACAGATACAGACAGAGACCTTCCATCTGCTCGTTCACTCCCCAAATATCTGCATAGCTCGGGTGGGAGAAGGGACACAGGGGATGCCCGGAAGAACCTGGCCCTCAGGAAGCATCCCCTCCAAATTTTAATCTCCTCTATCATCCATCATCTGTCTATCATCTATCTGTTGTCTGTTTAGCTATATCTGTCTACCTGTCATCTATTTGAGAGACAGAAATATGGACAGAGACACAGACACAGATCTTTCCTCTGCTGGTTCACTCCTCAAATGCCTACAACAGTCAGGTCTAGGTCAGCCTAAAGCCAGGAGGTTGGAACTCCATCCAGGTCTCCCATGAGGGTAGCAGGGGCCCAGGCACTTGAGTCATCACTTGCTGCTTCCCAGGGTGTGCAACAGTGGAGAGCTGGCTCAGAAGCAGAGTCAGGACCCAAACAGAGGGACTGATACGGGATGTGGGTGTCTCAAGCCGTCATAACTGCTGGGCCCCTGCCTGCACCTGGTGCTGCAGGAGAGGAGCTGGAGGCTGGACTGGGGAGGCTCTTGTTTTCCAGAACTCTCCTTCCCTGTGCCTTCTCACTCAGGCCAGGCTTCCCATCGCACTCCCCTTCCCATCCTCAGCACCTTTGTTCAGGCTGCTCTACCTCCTGGGCACACCATTCCCGTTCCTCTCCTTTCTTCCTAATCTAAGGCCACTCGTATCTCCAAGTCCAGAGGAAGCCACATGTTCTCTGCAGAGCTGGGCTGTGACCGGACCCCCTCTCCACCCAGCCTGGAGCAGCATAACCCTCTGCACACTAACGACTTCCCAGGCCTCTCCCACACAGTGAGAGGCACACAGAGCCGAGGCCCCAAAGTGTGTCCCAGTCAGAGAGAGAGAGGAGAGCAAGCTCCCATTTATTAGCTCTCCAAATGTCCACAACAGGTAGGACTGGGCCAGTCTGAAACCGGGAACTAGGAACTCAATCTTGGTCTCCCAGATGTATGGCAGAGACCCAACTACTTAAGCCATCACCACTGCCTCCCAGAGTCTGCAGTCACAGGAAGCTGGAGTCAAGAGCCAAAGATGAGACTCGAGCTCTGTCACTCTGAGTGTCTTAACTGCCAGGCCAAACATATGCCCCCAAGCTGGATTTTGATCCTGGAGAAAACAAAGAAGCCCAAAGGTTTGACTCAGCCGCCAAGTAGCAAAAGGTCAGCCCCTACCACATGTGATCTGTAACCACGGGCTGTGGGAAGTGGTTCAGTGAGGTGGGAAGAACCTGGGTGATAAAACAAGAGGGAGGCTTTGCATGGACCAGTGGTGACAAGTGCTGGGAACTGAGGAATGTGGGTAACTCAGCCCTCTCTCATGAGGTCTGAATGCAAAAGAGAGGAGAGGGAAGACGAAGGAAAAGAAGGGGAGGAGAGGGGAGGAAGGAGAGAGGAAGGAAGCAAAGGCCTAGGCCTGGAAGCCAGATCAAGCTGAACCTGAATCTCCTTTCTGTTTCTTTTAATTGTATAACTAGACACGGCATTACTCTGTGAGTCCTGGTTTCTGCCTTTGTGGAACAAGAATTCAATGGATGTACGCAGTGAGCCTCCCATTGTTCTTGCCAAATGGCAGACACTCAGCAAATAATGGGAATTGCTTTGTTGTCTGTCTGTCTCTCTTCCTCTCAAGTAAAATAAATAAACAATAATTTTAAAAAATCCCCCCTCCTCTCTGGTGCCCATGTAGGCTCTGCCAGGCTGCCCTTCATGTGCAGAATTGTGTAATTACCACCGCCTCCACCCTCTCCCATTCTTCACATTCCTCCACTGATTGCAGTTTCAACACACTGTCCAGCCCCTGGCTGGAGAGTGGCAGCTTTGTGCAGGGCCTCCTGCCGCCTCCCATCTGCCCCCAAGATTTCCAGGCCAGGTGCTCATCTATTCTCTGCACAGCTCTATTCACCCCACGCAAAGGACCCTCTTACCAGAGCCAGTGTTGTGGCACAGCAAATTAAGTTGCCACCTGTG